ATTAACTTCTCAGCTACTGCTATAGCACCAGCTAGAGTGTCTATCTTTTGGCGCCAAATCTCACGTTGCGCCCAATCCTTCAAACCTCGCACAAAGTTGAACAACCAATCCTTCTCTGACATATCTTGGATCTCTAACATGCACGCACAATATTCCTTCACATATTCTCGAATGGAAGTCTTGTGGTGTAGGGTGGTTAACTTTGTGCGAGCCACGAACTCGGTGTTATCCGGGCAGAACTGGTTCTTGATCTCCTTCTTGAGATCCTCCCAACTATCAAGCGTGATTCATTTTGCTTGAATGTCGGCATATTTGGTGCGCCACCACAACTTCGCGTCCTCCACTAAATACATGGTGACAGTATCCACCTTGAAGGGATCCTCTATTTGACAAATCCGGAAGTATTGTTCCATGTCAAAGATGAAGTTGTCGACTTGATTCGAATCTCTTGCCCCATCAAAGGTTTGGGGCTTGGGAAGATTTATATATGCACCCCCACTACCCCCAAAGCCTTGAGGAGCATGCATAGTGGCACACTTGTCGAGTGCCTCATCAGCTAGTGTCTGGACACAATTCAGTTGCTCCAACAGTCCATCTACTATGGAACGTAGATTGCTGATTTCATTATCCTCCTTGATCACAATATCTTCGAGCTTGGGCACCCTTTCCTCTAGGAAGGCCCATTGTTCGGAATTTCCCTCGAGCCAGGCCAGCCGTTGTCTGAAGGTGTATTCGAGATTATCTTCCATCACTGGCGTGCTACTTGAACACGAGTTTAGGCAACGATGCAGCGTTGGCTCTGATACCAACTGTCACGGTCCGAGTGGTTTGACACCGGATCGTGCGGCGCGCTCTTATCTTTTAGAAACAAGAGCGCAAGCCTAGAGTGAGAGAGGTTCGTGGGCACATAGCAACACGGACCAAAGGTATCTCAATGAGGCAATCGTTAGTAACGAGTGCAGGGTCGGGGCTTGTGACGGCCGATACTTCGAAGCGGGCACAAGCGGAACCGACAAGGATGTAGGCGTCTTTGAGAGTCTCTTGGTTTGGTGGGGAGCTTTAAAACAAGGCAAGCACAATATCTATAAATCCTTAAATCAACACACAAGTCTTAAAGCAAGGCAACCCGAATAGGAGCTTTTTCATTCATTCAACCATCGCTCCATATAGAGCTTTATATTGTTTACATGGAGAAATACTAGTGAACACTGAAATGACAGTAACACAATAATCTCCTCTAGCGCCTAAACTACTTACACGAATACATTGAAAGTCTATCATAAACTAAGTAAAGGCATAAGAAAGCAAAATACATGATGAAAGAGGTTGGATCCTAACACAAAGCCACCCTGACCATATCCTCCCAAATAAGGTTTTTTATTTCGATCGGAGGAGCATCGAAATAAACCACCCTCTCCTCAAGGATAACTCCCATATTGGCGAATTTATCCACAAATGTATTTGATTGTCATGGGGAAATTTTTAAATCTAGTTATTATTTGGTTGACAAAGGTTTAATTTCCTATAGGCATTTGTATTTCATGGGAATTAAAATCCCACATCAAATTTCCTAAGAATTATCTAAACGTATTTGGTTATTATATGGGTATTTACAAATTATGGGAATTTTGTCATCAGACAAATTATGGGAATTTTGAGTTATTAAAGGGAGCTTGGTAATCAAATTTCCATATTTTGTGGGAAATAAAAATTCCCATGATTTTACACTTCTCACATACTCATTTTTTTGGTCTACCAAGTAAGTCCTTTATTTTCAAATTCATGAGAGTTTTCAATTCTTCCATTTTTTAAATGTGCAACCAAACAGACAAACACTTTAAAAATTGTGTTTGACCGTAAGTAGGTGGGTAAATAAGTTCTCATATTTCGTGGAAAATTATAATTCTCATAAATTATAACTTCCTCCATTTTTGCTTTTAAATATCAATCAAACGATATGATGAAAAAAAATTCATGAATATTTTAAATACCTATGGAAATGAGGTTGTTAAACGTCGCTCCCATTTTACTAGGCATGACTCGCATTTTTTGCTTGAAATTCCGTATTTACCCCTCGTAAATAAATACTCACGACACTAACAACACTCATTTCTGAAATCACATTTTACTCTCATACTTCACTCTTGTTTTATCTCTCTAAAATTTAAAAATCTGAAAAAAAAAAACAGAGAAGAAAAGTAAACACACCCACAACCCACCACCAACAGCCACCAATCCAAGGAGGGGAGAAGAAATCCGGTGATGGCGGACTTGCGGCGAATCCGGGTGACGTACGGTGGTCGAGGCGGCGGCACCGGAGGCGAACAGTTATGTGTTTAAATCGAAAAAAAAATTCGCAACACTATACATCCACCTGTAAGATGAATCAAGGAGGATCTGGAAATTTCAGACGGATCCTCCTTGGTTCATCCGGAAATTTCAGGCGGATGTTCCAATTTTTATTTTTTTTTCGTGAGTAATTTTTTTTAAAAAACTGATTAATATTATTATTATTAGTAATGTTAGTATTATTAGTAATATTATTATTATTATTATTGTTGTTGTTGTTGTTGTTGTTATTGTTGGTAATATTATTATTATTATTGTTATTGTTATAAGTAATATTGTTGTTGTTGTTGTTGTTGTTGTTGTTGTTGTTGTTGTTGTTGTTGTTGTTGTTGTTGTTGTTGTTGTTGTTGTTGTTGTTGTTATTGTTATTGTTATTATTATTATTATTATTATTATTATTAATGTTGTTGGTGATGGTGTTGTTCTGAAATTATTTTTTTTGAATATTAATATTTGTTGTTCAACTGTAATCAAATAGTTATATTTGTAATTATTACTGATATTTGATTTTGTACTTATTTAATGTAGATTGAGGGTTCGGGGGCTCGTCATGCAATATCAAGACGTTTGAATGCGTCTGTTAGGAGGGAGTCATGTCGTTCAGTAATTACGGGGGCACCGTCGTCATGAGCAGCAATATGGGTCTTCTAGTAGTTGGTCGGGAGAGCATCAGTAACAAGGGAGCCTCCCCATGTACTCGTCGGGTGGACTACCTACATTTGACGATGAGGACGAAGAACGGGCAAGTCATGCTTATCGAGACGAAGAGTATGACCCTCAGGATTATCATACGGTATATAGGGGTCAGCATGGGAGATTTGTTAGTAGTCAAGCGGGTCAACCTACTACCAGCTCAGCAGAGACATGGTTAGCGTAGCAGTCGATGCCAGGTGGTCCTGAGGATGGTATTGTTATCTATAGTTTTGGCGGTCACGTGGCGTCATATATATGGGGCGGGACGGAGCGAAATGTTTTGCGCTGTTTAAGTAGGACATAGTTGTGTTTAAAATTGGTTAATTGGCGAGGTCGTCTTGCACAGCAGCACCTCGAATTAATTGATGGCAGTGGTCTGTCTCACTTACCCGGGATTATGTTTAAGCGTCTCAACTGGCCGTTAATTTCTGCTTTTGTTGAGAGATGGCAGCTAGATACGAACACATTTCATATGTCATTTAGGAAGATCACGATCATGCTGCACGATGTGTACCATATTCTTAGGCTTCATGTTGATGGTTCCATGGTTTCCACTACTCCTAACACGGACGCCATACGGGACGCGTGCTCAGTTACCATGGATATGACTATGGAAGAGTTGAATGAGAAGTGCGATACTAAAACCATTTGGCAGGGTAGTGGGGTGTTGACTGAGAGGATTTTTGGTACGAATTTGGAGGCGCAGATGCTCTTTAGTGTCCATTATACTGCATACATGTAGTTAGTACTAGGAGGATCACTGTTTTTAGACAAGAGTAGTTACCGTACTCATCCTTCCTTCCTCTACGATCTTGTTGTTGATGGTGTTCCGATTAATGAGTACTCTTGGGGTTTAGCTACTCTAGCCTACCTGTATCGGCAGTTGGGTACGATATCACGAAAAGATGCTGATTCGATTACTGGTTGTCTCACGCTTCTGCAAGCGTGGATTTACGAGTACTTTCCGTGCTTTCGGCCTCAGCAGGATACCTTGACGAGGGAGCTTAATATCCCTCGTGCGTCTGCTTGGGATGTTAGATCGAGGTGCCCTAACAAGAGCATGGAGCGCCTGTTAGCTTTTCGTGCTAGACTGGATGAGCTGATTGACCGTGAGGTTAACTGGCTCCCGTACGGAGTTGATCCTGCATGACACGTGCCACCCACTTTATTTATTGGCTGCATCCAGTACCATAGCATCATTGAGCCGTGCATGCCTGATCGAGTGGTTCGACAACTTGGATTTGTGCAGACATTCCAAGGAGCATTATCCTGAGAAGGCCAAGAGACCGACCAACTTGAAGAAGTATCGGGTAGAATTTCCGACCGAGATGACATCTATGATGTGGACTAGGTTTGTCCCTCCTTCGTCTTTCAGTGTAGTTTTAGGTACCCACACCAGACTTGGTCGTCGAGCTCCTACGGTCGCTCCTGGTTACATGCAATGCTGTATAGATTTTCTCACCCTTGTGTATCTCCTGGGGGTTCATCAGCTGGGAGTAGCAGTCTACCTGAGAGGACTAACACGGATTATGTAAGTAGTTGTATTTTATTATACTATTACTCCGACTTCAGTAATTGTAATTTCTATAATATGTTGTTTTCTTATTTGCAGTGGATGAGTCAGTCCATGGAGATTCACCAAAGAGCACTGGATGAGTATCCCAACATGTTTCGTGAAACAAAGGCAATGACTGAGCAGCTGATAGTTGACTAGAAGGCGATGATGGGGATTTAGATTACTCTTTATTCGTATTAGTGGTTGCATTTTTATTACTTGTCTTCATTATTTTATATTACTTTGTATTCGGCATGTAATGTAAGAACTGGACACTTTTATATTTGGTTTTGTTGGAATTTAGTTTAATTACTTTTATCTATATTACATAGCTATAACTGTTCAACCTTAATGAAAGTACATAAATAAGTCCACTACCTAATTAATGCATCCCACATGTTCCTTATGACTTCATATTGCTGATCCCATCCATCACCACTTGGCTCGTGGTGCTCGGTCCACCAACCTGCAATCGGGGAAGAGGTGAATCTTGTGCAAGATCAAGACCGATGAAATGTGACCCACCAACTGTAGTGATCACGAACTCACGAGAGGGTGCCCTGACCGTGCTTCGTGCCCGCAACGGTAACACCGTTATGCATGGGTAGTAGCAGGTTGGTACGCTACCTATACCGAGACAAATCACCCTTGCGTTGAACCAAGTAGCAATAGGAAATAAATCTTGAATTGCTACCATCCAATGCCACATATCAACTGCCCCACCATCCCATCGAATACATTCTACATTCATCCAAACCCTTCCAATCCCGTAAATCCTTTCGTACAACATTGGATGAGCGGTGACCTCATTTGCTATTGTTTCCCGAGCGGTAAACCATTGCGCTTGATCACCAAAGAAGAAGTCAGCCACACAACGAAAGCCACAGTTTCCATCACCAATGACATCCTTCCATGCCGTGATGTAAGGCAACATTGGTCTTGGAAGCAAGTGCAAATACCTACATTGACTGATGTCACATTGATCCTCTGCACAAAATTAATGATCATTTATTAGTACGCTACAAGAACAATAGGCGTGTAATTCACGAGTGCAAATACGTGTAATTTCATGACTTACTAGAGGTCGTACATGTTTGTTGTGTACCACGTTGAGTGTTTCGACGGTTTATATGTTCGAAATAACAAGGATCACGCCTGGTATCATTGTTCCTTCGTTGACCTCGAACATTGTGGTTTACATGTGGTTCTTCAAGGTTTGTATGATCCGGATGCAGCTCCTCTTCAATGATGCGAGATACATTTCGAAGTATAGCAGGATCACTACCAATGACCTTATCAACCAGGGAACAAAAATGTGCAGCTTCCTCGGTTGAATCGTTAACGAACACAGGTATATCAACACCATCACCAATAACCAAGGTCTTCCAGAATGAATGAATTTGCCTGATATACAAGCCTGACCATGCAACTAGCGAATCATGTATCTGGAAAGCACATGGTAAACCATGGGTTACACGCATTGCACATCCACAACGCTCATACACCTGATAACTTAACTCCCTCATCCTTCTCGTTTCATCATCGAGAATTTTCAAACAATGTTGAGACACTTTGCCATTTATACGTGATAGTGACAATTGTCTGTACTTCTCACCAATTTTCGATCTTGATGCCTCCAAACTATTACAAATTGCAATGATCTGATTAACAATATGACAATGTAATCGGGCCCATACGGTATCCAAAGAACCTGCCGTTGATTCAGATTATAAAAAAACATTATGATTTTTAATTAAAATTACTAAAACGAAGTAAAGACAACAACTACAACATTATAACAACGAACCTATCAATGATTCAAACCACGTCTTCACTGCCGAATGTTGGCTCTCAATTCTACAATTACTCGTGTTACCAAAGTGAAGAACTTGGTTCGTCCAAAATGTAACAAATTTGATTTTATGACAAAGCCATGTTCTCTCACCGTAAGTAATCACTGCCGGATAACTTGCCCACCTAGCTTTCATTGTATCCACAGCAACATATAATCCGCATCGGTTGTAGCATCCATGATACATTTCCATTTTCCATTTTTAAAACTCGTACCGATCTTCTTATTTTTGAACATATCAGTCACCCTAGCCTCCACATCTTTGTTAATGTGCCATCGACAAAGTAAATGCGACATCCCTGGAAACACTTCTCTCAATGCCGCACAGAGGCTAAGTTCACGATCTGACAAAAATACCGATGGTTCTTTATCATACCCAATCAACTCCCTTAATCTCTGCAACACTCACCGATAGCTTGTCGTGCACTCGTTGCGCATGAACACATAACCAACGAGGAAATTCTGATTTGTCGATGTTACACCTACTATCTCAAAGAATGGCATCCCGTATCGGTTGGTCTTGTATGTCGAATCCATACCGATTGCATGTGAGTATATGCGTAGTATGTTTACCGTGATTGGGTGCACCATAAATGCATGTTGTAGAACGCCGAGGTCATCGGTCATGACCCAATAAATACACTGACTCTGTCTCGCCAAATGAAGAAATTGCTGAACAACTCTTCTGCCTTTAGACATCTCCGTTCTCAAGTCATTCCGGCAATTGTAAATGTGTGTGATGTTTAGATGATCATCAGGAAATTGCTTTGCAATAGTTGCCATGATGTTATGCGGTGCAACCTTGGACTTTGTCATGTCATGCACAACATTTTTTGCATCCGGGCTCAAGCCACTAATTTTACGATGACCCTCCTGATACACAATCATTGGATGGTTATGGGTTCCACTTTCATCATTTTTTGCACGGATCTTCCAACTGTCTGTGATGAATTCATATCTTGATGTAGAAAGGACAAGCATTAGCTTTGGTTTTTGTGTCCTTTCGTATTGCGTTCTCAAAATCTCTCGGCTTGCTCTTCCGTCCCCGATCATATTTCAAATATTGATACGGCCGACCATCTCTGGTTTTGTTGTAAGACGATTTAACCAAAATAAATCCCAAATTTATGGAAACAGCATCCGCCCATTTAATTGCATTATCAAACGTTGGAAATAACGTGTCTGTGACAAAATTCACACTATAATTCACACCATCACCGCCGTCTTCAGACTCCAAATCCTGTAAAAATAAAAGAAAACACACAAAATTCTCCAATATTTTTTTTATTATAATATTAATAACAATATTTATAAAACAATAATAATACTATAATATCACTAATCACAAATTAAATAATAAGATTGATCACAATAATATATTTAAAACACTAATAATAAGCAAATAATAAATAAACCAGCATTAACTAATATCACAACATTAACTAATAAATTATCACAAAAATAATAATAATCACAATAAAAATTATAATAATAATACAAAGATTACATTAATAAATTTGATTAATTGGTTTTAAATTAAAAATTTGATTAATTAATCAATAAAAATAATAATAAAAAAAAAAAAGACATCCGCCCAAAATTTCCGGATCTATCTTGGTGGATCCGGAAATTTTAAGCGGATCCACCAAGGTGGTTCCAGATATTTTAGGCGGATGTTTTCATTTCAAAAAAAAAAAAGTATGAGGACTTACAGAATCCTCCGACGATGCCTCTGGTGTACGATTGTTGTTGTCGTCCATTGTTCTAAAGCTTAATAATTTTTTTTTTTTAAAAAAAATTGGATTTTTGGTGGTAGATCAAATGTGGTGGGGTTGGATGTCATGGGGTCGGATGTGGTGGGCTCGGGAATTTTTTTAACCACGTGGTACTAAGTGGAGGGGTCGGAATTATATTGAAATTGCCCATATGTCTCATAATGGATCATTATATAGTCCAACTTACACAAAGGACAATATTATCCTTCCATGTTAAAATGAGAGCAATGCCTTGTAAAATAGGAGCGTTGTTTAACAGTTTACCAATTAAAGGGACCAAAATCGATCAAATGACTCTACAGATAAACAAGTAAAAGATACGGGATAAATGGGTTAATGCCTCGGAGACCAAGGCCTGTAATTTTCATCATTTGGCCTACTGTCCTACGTTTAATAGGATGGCATTTGACTATGCAAATTTCTTCTTTTAAACTTTTTTTTAACTACTCTGTACCAATTAAAAAACAGAGAAAAACTAGTCAAAACTCAAAAATGTCTTAAAACATCACTTCACTGAGGCTAAGCTAAGTGCATAAATATTGACAAATTTGTTGTCTTTCCATCTTCAACATTTTAAAATCCAACCGGTTGAAAAAAAAAAAAAAAAAAAAAAAAATACCCAACCAAGAAAAATGATTTTTTCCCAAAAACATTAGCTTAAAATTTGTCATATGATATGGAAAATCTAATGATATGAAGAATCACAGTGATTATTTGGTGAGTTGTTTTATTTGGTTCTCTCTTTCTGTTTATTTTGGGTTAATGCTTTGTTTGATGCCTTTAATCTCTTCAATCTTAGCAATTATCATGCATTCTTAGCATGTGGTCCAAGTTTTTTTTCCCTTTTTTTTGAGTATAGAAAGTTTAATTTGATTATTTTAGCTAAAACCCTTGAATCTAATGTACTTTACTAATTAGCTAATTTTTCTGTCTAATTTGCATAATTTGTTTCGTTACAATAATGGTGTATGTCTTTACAACATTACTTATACATTACTTTATGATGTAACATGTACATTAATGCATTAGTCCATCTATTTCAGGATTTAGCATTGATGAATATTGCCTAAAGAAGTCATGGGGTGTAAATAAAAGAAATCGTAAAACACTTAAAAAAACAACCAAATTATCCAAAAGAGAAGACAGGATTAGTAGTTTACCAGACGAAGTATTAGGTAGAATTCTATCTTTACTTCCTACAAAACATGCTGTTGCTACTACTATTCTTTCATCAAGGTGGAAGAACCTTTACAAACTTATTAGTACTTTTGATTTTGATGATTCGATTACTTTTAGTTCTCGAGATGATTCGGGAAACAATAGCAAGAAGGCTAGTTTCAAGAGATTTGTGAATGAGATGTTGTCGCGGTGTAAGATGTCTTGTATTACCAAGTTTCGGCTTAAATGTGGGTGCTACCGATACAAGAACTCTTTGTTGTGTGATTGGATTAATGCTGCTTCTTTACATAAGGTTGCTGAACTTGAAGTATCAATTAATATGGCATTTACTTGTAGAGTACCTTGTGTGCTAAAACTTGATCAATTGAACTGTGAGAGTTTGGTGGTTCTGAAGTTGGATTGTGGGTTTGTACTGTGTGTTTCAAAACCATTTACTTTTCCGAAGCTCAAAGTCCTTTTTCTTGAAGGAATTATGTTCCGAGGAAATGGATTAAGTCGGTTTAGTAACTGTTATGAACCTTGTTTGGATGATCATGGTCTTAATGGGATTCTGTTTGGTTGTCCATTGCTCGAAGAATTGGTGATTAACGGGTGTGATTGGAATGGCGGTGATCTTTACTTCGCTAACCCTTTGCTTCGAAGGTTGACACTTGAGTCTGGGATGACTGGACCTCTAGACCAACTCAATAGCTCTATGGTTTATCTAAATTTGCCGAGTTTGGTTTACTTTAACTACTCCGATGGCTTAGCAGAGCAATATGATTTCAGAAATCTGAGTAATATCATTGAGGCTCGTATTGAAATTTGTTTTAATGATGATGAATTCGATGATCAACAAGATCTTTGCGACACTATTCTTGATCTTATCACCGGGGTTAATAGATGTCAATCCTTGAACTTGTCCCGTCAATGCTTGGAGGTACATTCACAATTGCTGAACTTGGTTTTGTAGCGTTTGCCTTTCTGAAATTTTACTTTGTTTTGATTGTTTGAAGGCTCTTACAAGTGGTGATTTCGAACTGCCTATCTTTTGTAATTTGACTTGTTTGGACCTCGCTCTTGGCCATGACGTTAGCTGGAATGATGTGCTGCTAGACTTTCTGAATAGCTCTCCTTGTTTGCAGTCTCTTACCTTGGAGCAGGTTGTTCAATAGATGTTTCGATTATTTACTATATTACTTATAGATTCTAATATACAACCTTTTTTGGTACACAGGGATTCTTGAGATGCACCTACATTCTACAAGATGGAGGAGACTTTTTGCTAGATGGTGAAGTAGACGATGACTTCTTGCTAATGGATGAAGTAGTGCCGCCTTGTGTTCATTCTCGGTTGAAGTTTATCAACATCAAGGAATTCAGAGGATTCACAGGGGAGATGCAAATGATCATGTATTTCCTTGCGAATGCTCATCTTTTGGAGGAGATGGTCATACATTGGGATCAAAGAATAAGAAAAAGGGACTCTTTTGCTAAAGAAAAGGAAATATTGGAGTTGCCAAAGTCTTCTACATCCTGCTCAATCGCATTTAAGTGATGCAATATACTCGTCCGTGTGGAATTAGTTGTCACATTTATATTGTATTTTGAAACAAGTAAAATGTGACAACTAAATCCTGATAGAGCTGCTATGTCTTTTGGTACTTACTATTTGAGGCTCGTCTGTCATGTTCTTCCTATAATTTGTGCACTGCGGTCTATTTTGCTTGGTGAAGTAGTTACCGTGTTTTGTCACATGATCCGTGCATAAACATTGTAACAACTTTCCATGATGCTGTGATCTTAGAGCTTTCCCTTGGAGGTTCAATTGTAACTAATTTCGTGCATATGTTAGTGATTTCAGGGCCTGCTTGCTTCCCCTTGGAGGTTCATTCATGACTAATCTTGTGTATGTTTGTGATTTCGGGCCTATTAGTTAATTTATGCTGTGATATTTTGATGTATGCACCATTTAAATGCTCTGTTAATATGTGTCACATCTTTGAAATTATGCTGGAATTTATTTTTGTCTAGGAAATTTACCTTTTACAGATTCACAGTAGCTGTTTTTTTTTTTCATCTTTTCTTTCGTAAAGTGGCTATTTCTGGAATTTTCAGGTGCATAGGCAGAAAGCCATTTATTATTAAGGTGTTAACTGCACTTTTAAACGTGATTAGTCTTGAATGCCATAACAACACAACCTACTACATGTAAGATAGGCAAGTTTAAGGTAAAAGATGCTTTTTGATTCACTTATTTAAAATCATCTAAACTTACTCCGTATTAAAGCTTATTACTATGTATCCGTAGAATTTACCATCTAGTCTTTCATCTATTACAGTGTAGTTAAATCAAAATAGCAGAATATGATGTTATTTTAAACTTAAATTAATCTTTTTCCTAAGGTTAACATATTTGAACTTATTTTACTTTTGAGTTGAAGACCGTAAGCATACTCATAATGTTTACGCCTGAGTAAGAAGAATACTTGCAAAGAGAGTAGAAGTTTATTTAATCTGTGAAAGGTGACCCCAAGCTTGAAGAAGGCGCACCCGCCAAACAAGTTGCATTGTCATTTTCTGATGGTTGATTTTAATAGGTATTTCCTCTGTTCTTATTCAATCATAGTGTTGAATGTGTATAAATAGTGCGGTGTATAAAAATATAAATATTACCACCATTTTTTGTTCAATTAACATGCTAAAGTCAATAATATCATTAATCATAGTATGTTATAGGCCTCGATTGCAATGAGAATTAACTTTTCATGGTAATTATAATTATTATTCTCTCTGTTTCTAAAAGTTTTTCTCAATTGAAAACGAGGCACTATTCATAAAATAAGATGATCTTCTAAATTACTCTTTTTTTTGAAGGACTTCTACATTACTCTTGTTATATAAAAAATTCATGTTGAGTTTTATTTGATTCGTCTTAACGAGTAGATTACTAATATTCAATTGTTATATTTTTTTTACACAAATACAACTAATCAAAATCGGAAGAATATTTAGGAACAGACGAAGTAGTAAATTTGAATAATATAGACGAAGGTGGGTAAATTAAATATCACAATATGTGAGAAATTGAAATTCCACATCCGTTTTGCAATTTTTTTGTTTTTTTTTTAACCAAACAACATACCTCGAGTTTTGAATGATAATAGATTTATAATACTAGTAAACAATGGCATAATTTGATTAACAAAATTTAATATTATAAATTATAGTACATATTTTAGTTTAAAAGGCATTCCATATAATTTTTAAAAAATGTATAGAAAGATTATTGAAAAATTAAACTCAATAGTCAACCAAAACAAGAAAATGAAACCTTGGCAGAGTTGGCACTGTAGCAAGGCTTAAAGAAGGAAAAGATACGGGAAAAATGGGGAAACAACACGTGTACCAATACCTTTCATTTTCATCATTTAGCCTACTTCCTACTCTACACTGTCTAAACTAAGGCGGCATTATTTTTCAGTTTCTACATTTTTTTACTTCTTTTAAACCGCCATATCTTTAAATAGATTAAATTAAAAAATTAAAATCAGTTCACATTCACTCAACAGTCAAGACTACTGCACTGCATAAATTATTGACATTTGACAAGATTGACATCCCCTTGTTTATCTTTTCAATTTCAACTTCTTTATTCATTCATTTATTTTTATTTATTTATTATTTTTTTTTATCAAACTTAAAGTTAATCTTTTCAACTTCCTTCCAAAACAGTCAAATTCTTCTGCTTTATTTTTTTACGGGAAAGATTTAGTTGAAGAATTGTTCAATATGGTAAGTTTCTTTCGATTACTTCTATATCCTTTGTTTTTTTATGTAAATTTTGCAATGATAATTGATAGGAAATGTTAATTTGCTCTTGATTTTTGTTCCAACCCTTATTTTTTTTCCTCAAAAATTTCATTTATTTTAGGTAAAACAGAGAAGATGATTTGATGGTATGATTTTTAGTTTTTACCCCATATAATTAAGAGAGTTGTGTTAGCTTTTTGCCTATTTTAGTTGAAATTAATTGATGTATATACTATATATGTTTACCAAGAAACTGTCTTTCTTCACAGTGCAATTTGCATATTTATCAACATTGATAGTGTGGTAATGTCCATTATACACCCGGGTGTAATTTTACGTTGTGTCACATTCTCGATGTACCATGGAAATTTGTAAGAATTTGAAGTAACATGTTTATAAACGTGAATATGTTGTGATGGACTGATAGTCTTCTGTGTTTGTTTTTAGGGTTTGATGAATATTGTCTAAAGGAAACATGGGTGAAAGTACAAGAAAGTGTAAAACTCGTAGAAATTCGAGGGATTCATCCGAAAGCAAAGACATAATCAGCAGTTTACCTGATGAAGTATTAGGTCGAATTCTATCTTTTCTTCCTACAAAACATGCTGTTGCTACTACTGTTCTTTCATCTAGATGGAAGAACATTTACAAACTGATTAGTGTTCTTGATTTTGATGATTCGGTCTCTTTAAGTCTTCGAGATGATTTGGGAAATGAAAGAAGTGATAATGCTAGTTTTAAGGAGTTTGTGAAACAGATTTTGTCACAATTGGAGAGGTCACATATTAGTAAGTTTCGGCTTAGATGTGGGAAGAATATCGAGTATTGTCTGTTATATGAATGGATAATTGCTGCCTTTTGTCATGAAATTGATGAATTTGAGTTATCTATTGATATGCCAATACCTTGTGTGCTACAACTTCCTCAGTTGTTCTGTGAGAATTTGGTGGTGTTGAAGTTGGATGGTAAATTTATACTGCGCGTCTCAACATCAGTAACATTCCCTAGACTCAAAGTACTCTTCTTTAAGGAAGTTACATTCCATGGATATAGCTCGATTCGTTTCAGTGCATACTATGAGTCTAGTCTGAATTACCATGACTTAAATGGGATGTTGTCACGTTGTCCATTGCTTGAAGAATTGGTGATAGATGGGTGTGATTGGAATGGTTTAGATCTCTACTTCACTAATCACTTACTTAAAAGATTGACGCTAATTGATGGTTTGAGTGGACCTATTGATCAGCTTAATGGCTCTATTGTTCACATTGACTTGCCGAATTTGGTCTACTTTAAGTACTCTCAATGCCTAGCTGAACGGTATAGTATCAGGAATCTAAACTCCGTAATAGAGGTTCATCTAGTCGTGTGTTTTAACGATGATGACTACGATGATGAACAAGATCTTTGCAATGCTATTCTTGATCTTATCACAGGGATTTGTAGTTGTCGATCCTTGTACTTGTCTTCGCAATGCTTAGAGGTATTATTTTGAATGTCACTTGTTATTAAGTAGCATTTACATTACTAAATTAACCTTCCTTTTCTTGTTTGAAGGCTCTTACAAGTGGTGATTTCGAACTGCCAATTTTTCGCAATATGACTCTGTTAGACCTCACCCTTGGCCAAGAAGTCAGTTGGAGTGATGTGCTATTAGACTTTCTATATAGCTCGCCATGCCTGGAATCTCTTACCTTGGCGCAGGTTGTGCTATTTACTGATTTTTTCGTAATCAAGTTCATATTTTTTCCTTGATTATTTACTAGAGATTCTGATTTATACTCACATACAGGGAGTGGCTAGATGGAACCCCAGTCTACTTGATGGAAAATTCTTGCTTAAAGCTAGAGCAGTGCCTTTTTGTGTTAAATCCCGACTGAAGTTCATTAACATCAATGATTTTAAAGGTTATAAGGAAGAGATGCGAATGATAAAGTATTTTCTTGATAATGCTCATGGTTTGAAGGGAATGGTGATATGCTGGGATCGGCAATCAAGGAAAGGAGACTTAATTTATAAAGCAAAGGAAATATTAGAGCTGCCGAAGTCCTCAAAATCCTGCTCAATTGCATTTGAATGATGCATACTTGGTGTTGAAATTGAGACAACTCAGATGAGGTAGTATTGCTTTTGGTACTTGAATTATGAGTCTGTATGTCATTATTTTGCTACTTTATGTTTGCTCTAATTTGATTTGTGTAAGTGGTTGCAATGTTTTGTCATGAAATCTGTGAATTAACATTGTAACAACTTACCATAATGGTGTGAGCTTAGAACTATCTGCTTTTCCTCCCGTTTGGCTAGTTGTTCATCCGATGCGTATGCTGTAGTGATCTTGGGGGTTGATAGTAAGTATTGGTACCATGTTTTGATGTATACTGCACTAGAGTTGGATTTTCTCGAATTTTGTAAGTATTGGTACCGTATTTTGATGTATACAACATTTTAATGTCCTAGTGAATCTGTCCATTACATCTTTTGAGATTACTTAGGAATCAATTGGTGTCTATACATGTACATATCTTGGTCTTATTACAGACTCAAGTGGTGGCTTTACGAGTGTTTGACTTGATGCTTCTGCTGCATAGCAGATTACATAATTTTCATCAAAGTTTTGGATGGAAAATTTTGTTGTTGTTAAGTCCAAGAGAAGTAAGCAACTACTGTTTGTTTCCTGTAGTTTGTTCTCCCAAAACGGAATAGAAGTTATTTGTGAAACTGCTCTTTATAAGAAAGTTTACACATTTAGAGGTGATCAAGCAATACTTATTGATGGCTAGGCCGTATAGTATCTATGTGATTCCGAGTTGTAAAGCTCAAACAGCACCATTTTGATGGCGAGCACCATCAGAGGCTGGCTCATTAGCTTGCACTGCAAATGACATTTGCTGGAATCAAGGCAGCTATGCAATCTCAAAGTTTCTGCTGCTATCCCTGTTGATTGAATGTCTCTGGCTGGGTGGAAACTAGGGGAAGCAGAAACCGTATTTTCGTAATTCTCCCCTACCCCTGACATTCCCTTTTCTATGTAACTTTTAAAGTTAATATATTTTACCTAGAAATAAGTTTTCCTTGTAAAATCATTATTCTAGATTAATGTTTTTCTGTCAAATTAGATGTAACCTGGAATCTAACAAGTACAAGCTATACAACAAGATAAGAGCATGAACATGGAAATTCAAAGTTCAAATTCCTCGAATACGGCTTCAAATACTTCAACTATGGTCTCATTTGGCGTTTGGATAAGCTGTGGCACCAACTTGCATATGCTAGGTTTTTTTTTTTTTTTTTTTTTTTTTTTTTTTTTTTTTTTTTTTTTTTTTTTTTTTTAAAAAAAAAACTGCATATTGCTAGTTTCAGAATTGTATAATAATCCGTTAATTTTGCTCATTTAATGATTAAATGAGAAAAAAATACTCTTGGATAGTTTGATGCACGTTGCATAGTGTATACGGAGTATAAGAATTTGTACCATACTTGTAGTGTAATTTTATAAAACTTTCTAACCACCTACCTGTTAAGTAAAATTTGCCTCTTAAAATTGTACCACACTTGTACCTCTCTTTTGGCTAGTTGTTCACCAGTTATCACAAGGACCTACCTATTAAGTAAAATTTGCCTCTTAAAATTTTTCGATAAGCTTGAGTAATTCAATAACGAGGAGAGCTTGGAGCACATATAATAGTGGTTTCATTTATAATGGCTATTTCAGTAAGAAAACCATCATGTTTGAGCAGATTAGAGTCATTGTTCAGTGTCTCGAGACGAAGGTGAGGCAGTGTTGACTCATTCATTTCTTATTCTTACGCCGCAGTTAAAATTAGCTCTAGTCTGGTTGAATAGATTAATAACACAACTTGTTGATACACTGATTTTATAGGTTTACATCAATGACAAGCAGTCAAGCACCACGGCACACTCCTATAGATAGCTGGTCTCGTGTGTCACTGTTTGGCATCTGCTACTAGCTCTTCATTCTTTTATTGGACTAATGGACTAGGTAACGTAAGCAGATGATAACTTGGATGTGAATCGCGAGCCCCTTCAAAAGATACACCATCAACGTTTCAATAAGGATGTTAGTCTAATGTTTACTCCCAAGGTGTAGAAGTAGCCGTTTTGGCAAATACATTTACCCAATTATTGTGAGAAGCAAAACACACTGTTTTTCTGTGATGCCTGCTGCTGAACCTGCAGACAAGATGGGAAGGTCGGAAGATGTTGAGAATTTTAGATACATATTTGGACGAACATGGTAAATGTGAGAACTATTTCACCCAGCCATTATAGTCTGTCAATCCTCACAATCTTAACCTTTGACTTCCTTCTCAAATTACCTCCAAAAAATAAACATGCCCTTTACTAAGATACCCACACCGCCGAATCACCCAATCATTAGACCATACTAGCAACGCTATGAATCGATAATAAACATTTCTCTGGATACCAAATAGATCACCCCATGTGATGACCCCCGGCCCTTGGATCAACAAATAACAAATGACAATCATATTCATAAGCAACCGTACTCTTCCATATATGCTCACCAAGCATGTGATTCGCATGAATCCGTTCCTATTTCCAAGTTTCAGACTGAAAACACCGCAAAGTCCCATGAGTAAACACAATAAGAGGCTGATAATCCACGAGTAAAAACCTCTCCAAAACACCAGTAGTGAGCAGGTCCAACCTGTGTCACAAACCCAACAGTACTTCTCAGTTTTCATGTTTATCGGAACTGGGGCTATTGGTATTGAAACCCAGTCATGTGTAACCGGATTAACCACATACAAACTCTGGCTTTTATCAATCATATCCACATTAGTCTCTTATCTGGCTTATTCCAATGGCTCGATTAAGATAGGGTAAGAGTTAACCCTCTATTTTTTGGCTTTTAAGGTTTTTGGGTAATATTTTCGAGTTTATAACACTATTCTATGTCAACATTTGTCAGTTGACAGTATGGAACTATGGATAAAGGAAGCCACTCCTAATGTTTATGCTGCTGTATTCTTTGATTTGTCAAAGGCTTGATAAATAATATTGTGTTCTTTCTGCCATATAATTGAACCAGATTTGATCGACATGTATAGATAATAGATTGACTTATGAAATGACTGAAATATAACATCAATCAACTATACAAGACTCATTCTGAACCAACATCAACCATCCTGGGACCCAAGACCCTGGTTTGGAAGTTAGACGGTATAATCATTTTGCCATCTGAAAGGTGGTTTCGTTCATATCGATTCAACTACAATTCTCTTTCTACAAAAGAAATATAGAAAGAAGCTGCAACGGACTACGTGGGCTAAGCAATAATTAAGAGGATAACTAGAGAGAAAGACGGATTGATTACTAATGATAGTAGCAGAATTAGTGACTTTAGGCCACCAGTCTCCAAAAGCTCAATGTTACAATTTTCTGGATGATTTTCCTCTCTCCTAAGCTTCCCCTATATATAGGACTATTCTCACTAGTGATGTGGCAACTAGCTTTAATTACTACAAGTACTACATTCCGTCTTTTTCCCAAAAGCATAAAAAGCAATACAAAGTAAACTAATAGGACACCAACGGTTACAGCTCTAGGGGACGGTGTTGCAGGCTGCTGTTGTGGGTGGAGAGTGCTCCCCTGCCTCTGTTGCTGCTGCTGCTTTCTCTTTCTTCTGTTGTATTTGTCTCTTCTTCCTGCTGTAAGTGTGTAGTAATGGTGGTGTGGGTTGGTTCATTACAGAAGCATGATACTAAGAAGGGGGGGGTTCAATTTACATAAGCTCAATTCAATTCTAAGAGCTGAGGAGAACACCTGCATTGTGATTTGTGAGTGATATAAACAGTAGTAGAACAGACAGTACACTCTTCTTTCTGTGTAATTCACTGCATTCTCTTACAGCATTGGTAAACCGTTTAGGATGAAACTATAAACACATAAGCTAATTTGGTTTAGTTTCGTGGAATTTGTCTTAACATGAGAAAACTGAAACATCAAGGTACTATAATACCAGATGTCAACATCTTCCACAGCAAATCAATCTGCAGCATCCTTAACTCATGTGCTATGCGGCACCTACATAAGCAAAATCACCTTCCGAGCCTTTATGATAGATGGATCATCCTGAGCTGGTGGAGCAGTTGTCATGGGGTAAGGACAATTTGAGCTGCATTATAATCCAGAACAAAGAGGTAACATCAGCCAAATGACTCTAATCTATACATAGATCTAATAACAATCTCAGTCGTTCAGTAAAAAAGGTTATGATCGACTTTTTTTATTCAAACTCTTAACAGTTTGTTTGGGTAAAGTTAAGGGAAGGAAAAGAAGGGGAGGGAGGTGAAGGGGAGGAAGGGGAAAAGAAGGGGAAGGAAGAATGACGAGTAATCCTTCCAAATATCTCCATTGTTGGAGGGATCATTTTCATAGAAGTCAATCCCTCCATTTCTCTCCCCTCCAATTACCTTCATCTCTAATTTGTTATCCAAATAAAAGATACCCCCTCCCTCCATTTCCCTTCCCTTTCTTTCCTTCCATTTCCTTCAATCCAAACACACTCTAAAGCAGTAAGAAATCTTTTAAAAAGGCAATATGAGATGAGAGAAATGCTCTGAACAGCAGTACCTTCTTAACTTCAGCATATAGCTTCTTGATTTCTTCATCATCAGGCTTCAACTTCAACACACATTCTGCATCTTCAATAGCCTTTAAGATCACCAAGTTCCTTTCTGGCTGCTGCTCGGCGAATATATGCTTTTAAGTACTTGTCATCTAGTTTCAAGGTCTCAGTACAATCAACTTCTGCTTCATGGTATCTACCAACCTTGAGATACGTCATAGCCCTATTTGCATAGGCTAGTGCATTTGGTGACAGCGCAATGCTTTTTGAATAATAATCCAAAGCTTTATTGAAGATCTCGACCCTGAAATGATCATTGCCCTGTTCTTTCAGCAAAGTAGCCTCTGCGGATAGAGCAAGATAGACAGAGTTTATACTGTGGGGTAAACATGAACAAGTAAAATGAAATAAAAGAAAATCCTAAAGGTTCACCGCTTTAAATGCAACATAAAGAATGGCCTTAGGTCTTGAAATAAGAAAATGAAAGTTAGACATAGTACTGAAGAGGCTAATCATACAAAATGGGTTTAGAAAAGACATATACAAGGGTGAAAAGAGCTTACTATCCATGCTATAACATCAGCGATTATGGCAACACATACTAACACGATGAAAAAGATATATTTTTCCCTAACGAAAATCTTCTAAGAAAAATAGATCAAATGCAAGCACTTGGTCAAGAGAGCACACTGGAGAATTACAAACCTTTTGTCATTTGGGGGAAGGGTAAGGGGAGATGTGTTGGTATAAGCCTAGTTTATTACTAATTATAAAATCAAGGAGTCATGAGTTCATGACTCATAAGTGATAAGGACCGATAACAATAGCCATAAGAAATGTGAGAAAGACCTTCCGCAAATACATCAACAGCAAGACAAAGAGGAATTGACCAAGTTTCAACCAGGACAGCAAATTCTTCTTGGTAGTCCAATGAAGATTCCACAAGCTTATAAGAAAAGGTAATCGTGTTCATTTTTTAAAATAATGGAGTAAATGCCATTTTCATAAAGAGATAAGTTGCAATGGATAGAGTGGCGCAGAAATATGTATGACTACAATACAATTTTTAAGAGCAAAAATGATTTTAAACACATAATCAATTGAGTTGAAAGTAACTACACGTCTATACCCCTTCCAAAAAATCACAAGATTCTGAAAGACAAACCATTAACGCAATCATAGAGCACCAAACATACTGGATTTTAGCATTTTAAATCAGATTTTATCATCATTTCAATGCTTAGGCAAACAGAAAAGTAGCTGCAAACTCCCAAACTTGATCTCAACAACTCTCGTGCAAAATAACCATAAACTGCACGAAATCCCAAATAATTCTAAAAGAGTTGCCTCCAGTTAGAGTACTTCATGACCATTAAAATCAGATTTCTCAAATGGTAACATATAAATCAAGTAAACCACACACATGTCATAGGAGTATAGATACGATGAACACTAACATCAGAGAGATCACGATATAATGTGATATTACAAAAGTTCTAGCTATCACACATTACTTAATGTAACAGAAACTTGTATGACAATACGACATCATAGCACTATTGGATACAATGCAATCATACAGTTAAAATGGTTGAATACTTAAGATTGGAGAAAAAGAAGTTAGCCAACTTGGGAGAGTAACTTTTGCAAGAATTATGAATCTATCCAACGCTTTAGTCATGCTAGAGAAACTACTACAGCAACTCTTCACCTTTCCACTCCGAACATCCAAAGAAAAAATAAAGGTTCCCACAGCAAAAAAGGCGATATGAGCTTCAAAAGGGTGCATCAGATGAGGCATTGGCATCACTTTACACAATCTTAAAACCAAGTAGCTACTATCAGACAACATATCATTGAAACACAACTGATGCACCAAATTCCATTCACCAGCTTGATAATCTCTCACCCTCCACAAATTCAACTTATGACCTCCTTCATAACACACCTCCAAATATTGTATATACCCTTCACTAACATCAATACACCAGTAATTCATCCAATCTTGACACTGTCTTGGAAGCCCTATAAACCGTAAACAAACCATTTTCTTCCTAGCAAATGGGTCATCCCAAGTAATAATCCCAATCCTCGGGTCTACCAAGAGCAAATGCCCATCAACCACATGAGCCCCCTGACCCTTCCATATATGCTCACCAAGCATATAATTCGCCTGAATCCGTTCCCATTTCCCGGTTTCGGACCGAAAACACATCAAAGAACCATAATCAGTCACAATAAAAGGCTGATAATCCACAATCAAAAACCTCTCCAAAACCCCAGTATCTCCAACCTGTGTCACAAACCCAAGACTACCCTGTCTATTTATCGGAACCGGGGCAATCGGTATCGAAACCCAGTCATTTGTAATCGGATTAACTACAAACAAACTATCATCTGTATCAATCACATCTACATTATTTGGACTATTCATTTCCCAGAAAGTTCTCGTTTAATCTTGATCGAAATTAACAACAACCCATTACTCGAATTTAATACTAATGCAGAAGGAGCAAGACCATCGAGACAAAATTCTTTAGTATCATCACCAATTTTGTTAGGGTTTATAGTAAGATTATTCACATTTGGGGGTTTCTGCCATTGAAGCTTGAACTCGGGTACTGAATCGTTTACATCTTGGATAACTCGGATGAATCTGTCGAAGATTGACCATGATGAAGAAGACGAAGAGATGTAAGAAGAGATGAAATTGGGGTTGCAGATCATTGAATTCCATCGTTTCGAAACGGATTTGAAACGGCAAATTGATTTTGCGGGTAATCGGGTTAGGATCTTGGATATGATTTGATCTGGGAATATGCCCGAATTATCATCTTGATCAAACGACATTTTTTGATGATTTTTTTATGGAAAGATTTGATTGCGGGAGGTTTTGTTTACAACTAGGAGAGGAGAGAGAAAATGAGCCTTTTAAAAAAAGGCAAAATTCTTCACGGTAATCCTTATGTGTTCATTTACCAAAAAAACAAAAAAAAAATCTTTAGGTGTACACTTTTTCACGTTGTGCTTCCTCGTTATAAAAATTTTACGTTGTAACCTCAAGATCCATTTATTGACTACGTTGTAACCTTGTTGTTAACCCTCCGGTACATGTTGGCGTTAGTGGGGCCTACTTTACACTTATTTATTTTTTTTCTCGATTTTCGTGCTAAAAATGTTCCGTTAAAGGTTTTAGCGGTCATTTTATCCCTTAAGAATCCAAATTGAACTCGAATTTTGCAAAAAAGAACGTAGAAACCCCATTTTGTGAATTCAGATTCCGTAGTTAAATTTAGAATTCAAAAAACGGGGCTTTTACTTTTTTTTTTTTTTTGTCATATCCGAGCTCAATTTGGTCCCTTAAGAACTAAATTGACCCCTAAAACCTTTAACGAAAGGTTTTTTAGCACGAAAATCGAGAAAAAAATTAAATAGGTGTAAAGTGGGCCCCACTAACGGCAACATGTAATGGAGGGCTAATGGCAATGTTACAGCGTAGTCAATAAATGGACCTTGAGGTTACAGGTGGAATTTTTAAAAAGAGGGGGCACAACGTGGAAAAGTGAACACCTGAGGGTTACCGTGTAGAATTTCCCTAAAAAAAAAAAAAGCTTGTACAAGAATGGATACAGACACCAATATGGTTGTATGGGTACAACATGTAAGGTGTAAACTAGGAGTTGTGTTCAAGTATTATAAGTTTAATTTGTTTGAGGTTTTAATTTGTCATGCAAGCTAAGTAGTTTAGTTGATTACACCAAGGCATTGATTAGGTCTAGTAATTGATCGGATAATTGTTAAAATGAGAAGTAATTGATTGGCGAATTGGCGAGGCTTGTATACAACTATACACGTATCGTTAGCTTAATAACACACTCTAACTGTTACAATAAATTATATTTCCTTCAATTCTTTTTTTTTTTTGCATTTACAAATATATAAGTCAAAATAGAATAGTACCCCATGCAATGCAACTCATGTGGGATAAATGAACGTAGTGTGTATAAAAATGAAATAAGTAAAAACTTCAAAAAAATAAAATTGATATTTATCGTTGATTTGTTGTATTGAGAATATCTAAAAAGTAATATACAAATGGATGCATGTTTTTTTACCTATATAATTATACAACTTACTTAAAAAAAAAGACACTAAGGAGAATTATAAAAAAACAAAATAAATAAATAAAACAAAAAAAGTTGACATCATATATTAATTTGGCGGGAAGATTTTTTAACATAGTTTGACATGTGTCATCTAAGATGATCAATGTAAGCATGACTTGTTTTAGTAATAGTTAATAGATTGGGTAAAACATTTAGAATAGTAGAGTTCAATAGAAACGACCATAACACTAGCCATAAATCCTTCAATAGTAAGATATTAAGATTAAAAGTTGTAAATGAACGGCTAAGATTATAAATGAAAGGATTGAAACCTTTGATAGATATAAGGTACTATGATAATGATTTCTTGCGATGATAGTGATTAGGGGATTTTGCTCCCACCAATCGGAATGCGCCATGTGGGCCAATCAGGTCCTGCCAAGTGTTCCCCAGTTGGACCTCTCAGGGCTTGCCACGTGGCACACGCTTATTCGTCCACCTTGGACCTATTATGTCATGACACGTGGCATACTCCATGCCTAATGGAGAAGTCGGCCACCCAGGCCCAACTTCCGAGGGAAGCCCAATCAGCCCAAGGTTAACCTAAACCTAGATTGACACGTTTCCCGAGGTTATAAATACCTCCTTAATCCTCATTAAGGGAGATGACGCAGATTACACACATTAAACTCTCTCACCTAGAGAGACCCAATCACTTTAATTTCCGCATTAATTACTCCTTAATCAAGTACTAACTTGACCGTCGGAGGCGGATCTCCAATCATCCGGAGCATCCGTTTGTTTTGCAGGTACAGGCGTCCGATTCCAGTCTCGGAATTGTAACTCTCCCGCAGGACATCAGAAAACCCCGAAACATTTTGGCGCCGTCTGTGGGGAGAGTACTTCTGAGATGGCATCCACGTTTGTACCGGCTCCTGAAGAGAGACGTCCCCTGGACGACCCTCTAGTTCAGTCGGACCATGATACTGAGAATGAATTTGAAGTTGAAGCTCACACAGCTTCAGACGGGACCCTAAGGGCCCGACGTACCCGTCATACCGAAAGGAGGGAACGGGAACATCTTCAAACTGGAAGCGAGCCAGCAGGCGCACCGCCTGTTCGGCAGCAGCCGACTGATGGGTCTGCTCCCATCACAAGGAACGAACTCATGACCTTCATGAGGGACTTCAAGGGAGAAATTCAAGAGTTGATCAACAAGAAGCCGCCTGCTCTGGACAAGGAGCAGTCGGCTAAGAAACTCTCCACTTCACGGAAGAGGAAGCCAGTTCAAGGGCGAGAGGCGACCCCTCATCCTAAATCTAGGAAGTGGGAGCCACCTGCCCTTGATTTCACAAAATACCGTTTTCCTACTCCAGGAAATAGGAAACATGTTCGTCATATTCAGGCGGACGGGTCGAGGAAAACATACACAGACGCTCGACTACTGCTAGAACAGAAGAAGAGTGACCGATTGTCAGAGTCGGCCTCTACTTCAAACTTCCAAGACAGTCTGCGAAATACCTCGATGAGGCATACTCAGTCGTATCATGAGAGTCAGTCAGGCGGCACCTCCCGTCAGTCCGGCTTTCATAGCGACCAGGCGGTACCAAACTTACCGTTTGTACCGCAACAACAGTATTTTTTACAGCCACCTCCATTTGGTGGACATGCAGCAAAAAATGTCCAACCTATGGACTGGCAGCTACGGTTGCTTAGACTTGGTGAACAGCCGTCGGCCTTCTCCAAGGAAATTACTGAAGCCGCTCAGCCGGCCAAAGTGAAAAATGTATTAGTAGGCGCCTATGACGGCACTACTAACCCAGAAGACCATCTGATGGCATTCACCAACCTGATGTACCTTCAAGTTTTGGATGATCCCACTTGGTGCAAGTGTTTCCCAGCGACTCTCAAAGGAATCGCACAACAATGGTTCGGCAACCTGCCGACTGGTTGTGTAAATAACTTCAAGACGCTTGCTTACTTATTCACCTCCAACTTCGCCATGAACATCCCTGCGAAGAAGACGACCCTTGATTTAGGAACAATTCAGCAGGGCGAGAAGGAGGGGCTTCGTTCTTACATCAGGCGGTTTAACTTGATGAGAATACAGATTTAAGGGTTACCGGATGAAGTAACCTATACTGACTTTTTCAGAGGTCTCAAAGACGGGTCGACCTTCAAATTTGATTTGGTCCGAAAGAGGGTGGCGACTCTTCAAGAGGCCTTGATTGAAGCGGAAGCCTATATACAGGCGACTGATCTTTGTAGTACGGTAAAACAGTCAGACGGGAAAAGGTCCGACAAAAGAGAAGGACGACAGAAGCAGTCGTCAAACAAAGACGAGAAGAGAAAAGAGGTCTGGGCAACTGATTCCTCTAAACAGCCGTCCCAGAAGAAGAAAAAAGAATTCAAACCATACTCCCCAAAGTATGTGTTTAACAAGGATAGCCAATTTATCCTAAAGGAAATCAAGGGACGGATCTCAATTGAGAAGCCGGTCCCCATGAAGGGTTCTGCAAACAATCGGAACCAAGAAAAATTCTGTGATTATCATGAAGATGTTGGTCATCACACCAATGACTGCATCAGTCTCATGCGGTATCTGGACCACCTGGCTGAGCAAGGTGATCTTGACACTTATGTCAAGAAATCTACGGGGAACACTTCCTCGAAAAAGCAGTCGACCAAAAAGAATCAACAGGCCGACAGCTCCGATACAGATGATGCAGTTGTCTACACCATTGCAGGCGGCTTCTCAGGAGGCGGTCCCACTATTAGGGGCAACAAAGACAATATCAGACGGTTAGATGTAAATTCCGTTCACCAAGAACGGCCCTCCAAATATTCATTTCCTGAGATTGTCATCACTGAAGAAGGTCTAGGAGGGGTAAGAGGGCCGCATGACGACCCTATCGTTATTGAATGTAAAGTGGCCAACCAGAGAGTTGGCCGAATCTTCATAGATACCGGAAGCTCCTCAGATCTCATCAGTACCAAATGTCTGTCGAAACTAAAATATCAGACTGATTGCATACATCCGGCATCCCACCCTTTAGTAGGGTTTGGAGGAGGAGTCGTCCACCCAGTGGGACGAGTGGATTTACCCATCCGCCTGGGCGAAAAAGGGGAAGGACGACACATGGTAGTCCGGTTCCTGGTAGTAGAAGAACTCTCGGCCTACAACATGATTCTGGGACGACCAACCCTGAATAATTCCAAGGCTGTTATAATCCCATCTCTTACGTTGCTCAAGTTTGAGAGGGATAATGGAACAGTCGGGTCCCTAAGGGGAGATCAGAGGATGGCCCGAGAGTGCTATCTCTTGGATGTCAAGCCCACTGTTATGGCCACTATGTCGAGCGGTGGAAAAATAGACCTTGACAATGTCAAGGAGAGTGCGCCTGTTCAAGAAGCAGGCGGCAAGAAGAGAAAGGCATCCCAGACAGGGGCCGCAAGAAAAGACAGTAAATAGCAATCATTGGCAGAGGAGCGGTCGGATGAATTCCGCCCTCAGCCAGCTGGTGAGCATACAGACCTGATGTTAGATGACTCGCGTCCTGACAGAACAATCAAGGTTGGGACGACTGCTCTAAGGGACCTGGGTGACGACTTTCACAAACTATTGAAAGAATACAAGGACATCTTTGCATTCGAAGTCCATGAAACGCCAGGCATTAGTCCTGATCTGGCGGTACATAAACTGGCCGTGGATCCGAAAAAGAAGCCGGTACGGCAGAAGAAGCG